GTCCTCGTTAGCCCTGAAATGGTTCAGGTGAGTCCGATAAGCACCCTGATAAAAGTAAAGTGAGGTTAAACACTATCTGCCCAGCTAATGAACCACTCTGGAGCTCTTGTGTGCAGACAGAAGCACTCCAAAGATCCCAGCAGTCAGGACTATGAAGTTTTTGAGTTCTCCAGCCTGACCCACTGCGAGCAAAGGCCAAGAGCACTGAAGTTCCTTTCCCAGGCACTGAAGATCCTATAAAGTGGGCAACTCCTGCAAATCATAGGATTAGAGATAGATCTAATTGTTTTTAAGCTAATAAAAAAGTTGCACAAACTATAGGAAGTGGGATTGGAAGGTATTTCAAAATGTTACTTAGTTGATCCCAGCTTTATGCAAAAGACTTAGTTGATCCCAGATTTAGGCAAAAGGATAGACTGTGTCTGACATTCTCAGTAGATGTCTGCCTACTTGTTCTTTTTAAAAAAAAAAAAAAAGAGAGAAAGCAAAAAACCTGCAATGAGGTAGATTTCACACCCTCTGCAGGCAGCCTGTTTCAGCACCTCATTATCCTTGCCATTAGGCAGATTATCCCAATATCTAACCCGAGGGTGCAGTTTGACTTCACACATATTCCCACTACTCCTTGCCATGTGCTCCTGCTATTCCCTTGCATCCAGCACAGTCAGAGGGGAGCAGCTTCCAGGGGCTGACCAGAAAATTAACCCTTGGGAAACAGCATCTCCTAACCTCTCCCCCTCTCAATAGGCTTCCATGACACCAGCTTATGACTTTAAGCTAAACACATGTTCACCACACTGCACACAAGGGAGAGGGGCATGAAAGGGGGAAAAAGGTAATGAACAACTGGATGAAGCTGGCCAGGGAGGGGAAGCTACACCTCCTGGGAGCAGATCCTGGTTATAGCACATCAGGCCTAAGATTGACCTGCATCCTAAAGTCTTCCTTGCTACAACTTAAGATGATTTCTTTGTCCTATTCTCAGTGGACAAAGAAAAGTTTACAACTTTCAGCAATAATAATTAAAAACGCTTATTTAGCTGAAGATTTGCATCTTCTCCTATTTGAGGAGTGTATTTGAGGATTTGACCAAAGCAGGAACTGGACCCAAGACCTCTCTCCCTCCAAAATCCCAGTCAATATGAAAAGGCTAAGATCAGAGCTAGCCTTCTTGCAAATATACTTGATAACGCAATTCCAATAACTCAGAATGTCATATTCCACTACCGTTGCTAAGGTCACCCCATTCCACTGTTTTAGCATCTTGGGTGTTCACATCTGCCTGGCAACAGAATGGCAGGTGAATTACCAGCACTTTCTTCCATTTCTACAAATTTACTGTCATAGGAGTGCTATTAATTTTTGCATTACCCAGTAAGGTGAGAAGCAGCAGAGAGAGAAAAAGAACACATGAAAGGATTAAGCCAGCCGCAGATTACAGCATTTCTCAGAAGTTATCTTAAAATTTCAGTTTCGAGCAGGGGAGGAAAAAAAAAATAGGAGTTTCTGATAAACAGATCCTTATGTTCACAAGAGATAGCAAGCATGAAAAATGGCAGCCAGATAAACTAATAGGAAAATATATCCATCAAACTCGAAGAGTGGGAGAAAGCAAGTCCACTAAGAAGAGATCACTTAAGAAGCTAAATAACAAAGGGATGCCTAGGATATCTGAAGGGAGGAGTCAGCTGCGTATCATTGCAGGATGAATTTAACTTCCAGGCACTGACAGTCGTGTGTTTCTCTTAAACTGTTAATAGAAACAGAGTATCACATAGCATATAAAGCTGCAAAGAGACACTTTACCCAATTAAGTCTTTCAAATGGACCCAGCAGCCAGTTCTAACTAATTTTTAGGCCCACTTAAATGTTTCTTATGCGTTAAGCTTTCCTTTCCCTTGGGTCATTCCACAGCTGTGTCTTCCCTACCTGTCACACTGCATCTTCCAAGTAACCATTTCCTCCTTTCATTTATCTCTTACTTTTATTTATTTTGTCTTCCTATGCCTGTCGCTTCCTCTAACAATCCTACTCCAAAACATTAGTGCCCCTCTCCCCCTCTCTGTAGGGTTTCCGAGGCACAGCAAAAGTTTACAGATGGACCCCCAACCTAAATTAACAGACTAACTTTGAAGTGATCATCTGGAAAGAAGTACTTGAAACCAAATTTGAGAGAAAAATTCATTATTATTAAGTGTATAACCTCTAACACAAGATTTAGTGAGGTTAAGATATGAGGTAGTCTTAAACATGCCCTCAAAAGGCCTGCTGAGGCTTGTCACAGCAAAGTCTCTCCAAAATCCTAACAGAAAAAGTATTTGGAACTGTGATGTAAGGCTTGTTTAAGTAGTTTAAAATGTTTAATGAAGTTTAATGTTTAATCATTAGCCTTGCAGGCTCCAGGACTTCCGGGAGATGCATTAAAAAAAAAAAAAGAGAGAGAGAGAGAGATAGAGAAAGAAAGAAAGAAAATGTGGGCTATGTACCCCAAGAAGCATTCCAGCCATCACAGATGAGCACAGCACTGATCTGGATGCAGGGCAGCCTTCTGGTGCAAGCAGCGCAGCCAGCGTGAATGTGCTGTATCGGCTGTGCTTCAAACACCCCTATCAAAGTCTAACTTGTCAACAAGTCTATTAGCTCCAACAGACTTCGGTGTGTCAAGAAAGTTACATGTGTGATTTAAAAGCAAACAAGCGAAGGGCTGCGAGCGCTACCCGTGTTCACACCTCTGGTCCCCACACCAACCCTCCTGGCTGCTACGAGCACAGGTGGAAGCACCTCACATGTCGGCTCTCCTCTGCCCTTCCGAGGGCAGACAGACCCACATACCATCCACTCCAGGTCTCTATTTGCAGGTCTTCTCAAATTTTCTCATAGAACTGCTTCAGACCACAGGCAGCTTATACCCCTGCTTTAGGTTTCACCTGTGCTCTTCTCCTCATTGCTTTGCACCTCCCTTCTTTCTTTTTTAACCTGCTTTTGCTCCTTCTCAGAGCTTCAAGACTCAGTATGACCTTAGAACAGGGAGTGTTTGAGTATAAGGTTAAACAAAATTTAATAGACTATCCTTAAACTTTTAGCCTTTTAAGCTTGTTTTTTTCTTGAATGAAGAACAAAGCACCTGCCTGCTGTTGCTGTGGGACATTCTAGATTTTGTGGTCACAGATAAAGTAAAACTTTGTTAAAAACAGTTACCTTAATTAGAGCTCTTCATGTTCTCAGGGCATCAACACAAGGTCGGATTTAAAGTAATCTGTTTTTAATTATCCCAAATTTGTGCAGTGCTAACATTTCACTTAAACATTCATCCCTCCACTTTTTTTTCTTTAAACTGAGACTCAAACAGGTGTGTTATTTTCTCCTAAATTTCAGGTACAATTTCATCGTACCATACTATTGCTTACACACTGAGAAAAAGCATACCCTCTGTAAACATTCTGTATGCATTAAAAGAAGTGGAGAAATGGAAAACAACATGGTTTAAAAGCCTTCCTTTTTTTAACCTACCCCTCTTTGGATGTCCACTTGATAGGACATCTACCTCCAAGCAAACTCCCTTAATTCGAGCAGTTTGAGTTCTCAAAGTCCCTTCCAGCCCTCAATGTTTTCTACCTAAAGAACAGGCGTCAATGTAAGTAAGTGCCTCAATGACACAGCGTGACTTGAAGTGCCTCTCGAGGCTCTCTTGAGTGAGCAGAGTGAAACCTCTGACTGTCTTTCCATCCTGCATGAGGGAAAGCAGCAGGAGCGCAGCGGGGCAGTGAGACACAGCTCTACCCGCTCCTGCAGAAGGACCCCCTGCACCGCAGAGGGGCCAGCGCTGCCGCCAGCGCGCACCACGCTCGTAAATGCACATACATGCACACATAAGCACACATACGCATGGCTAAGTGTCCACATGCCTTATAAACTGTGTGTGCAAATAGACACAAAGCCCGCTGACAGTCACGCCAGGCTCCTGCACGGGTGCTTCTGCCAGAAGTCACTGCACTGATGCTCTCAAGTTTCTTTGGGGACAGAAACTTAAATTCAGGAAGGCCTCGGCGCAGCAAGCCCCGCTGGCGCCCGGCGGGGCAGGTCGCGTGTTTGGGTGCTTTATCCTCGAGAGCGGCTCCGCGCCCCCGCCGCCATGACCCCTCCTTCCCCCGCCTGCCGGGACCGGCCCCGCGGCCCCACGCGTGTCCGCGGCGAGAGGCAGCCCCGGCCCCCCGTGACCTAGTTAGCGGCCCCGCTTAGGGGGACTCCGGCCCCGCTGCGGTTGGGTCTCCTGTGCCCCTGAAATCATATATATATGTGTGTATGTTGTCATCGACATCGTCATCACAGGGGACAAAATCATCGCGGGTGGAGGGGGGGAGGACACCCCCCTTACCCACCCTGCGTCCTGGGAACACTCTCCTGAAAACTTTATCCGGGGCTCGCTCCCCCTCCGAGGAACAGTAACAACAGCAACGACAAGGTTTTAAAACCTGTCAACCATTTTAGGTCTCTGTTTGGGGAACATCATTTTTCCCAGGA